TCAATAGAAACAAATCATTTTTAGTTAAGCAAGGAATATTAATTACCAGCAATATAAACATTAAACAAATAATACTTGGATCAGAAACTAACAAGTAGTCTCAAAATTATTGAAATACAAATGAAATCTTCTAGTAATAATAATAATTGTGCATTAGTTGGTGTGAAGTAAGAAGTATGAATCTTCTTACTAAATACTGACGAAATCAAAGTTAATTCGATTACATTAAGCTAGTAGTGACAAGTTATTAGCAGTAGTGATAAATAATGTAGTATATATAGAAATGACAAATAATCAATTGTACTTGTAGGATGATTGTAGAATCTCAATCAATTTTGTTAGGTGTGTCCTTTAGGTATTGTTTTAGCTCTGTATCATACATTGAAATTTTAATTTACAAGAAAAATTATAATATTTTTTCTTTTATAATTTACTCTGAATGATTATTATAATACCTTAATCCCGATAATGATACATTCCCTTTGAGGAGCATTTATCACGTAGACTAAAGCCCTTATTAATTTTTGAAGATGGTTCCATTGCTCCTTTATTTATTTATAGTATTTCTGTGTCTGTTTTGAACATTTATGAATAGGAACGCTACTGGATCCTCCTCTTAGCCTACTGCTTACGACCTCCAGTGATATTAAGGTCGTGATATATAAATTAAATAAAATATTTATAATCCATTAAAATAATTCTTCAATATAAAAAGATTTCACAAAAAAACAATTCAAAAAAAAATTATTTATTAATATTTGACTTACAATAAAGCAAGTGCAAGGAACCAAATCGTATAACTTATTGTTAATATTGCTTTGGATACAGGTGGGAAGCATGCATCAAAACTATTTTTTTAATTATTTATAAGTCGTTCACCTAAGAAAGTTGGCAGTCAGAACTACAGTCTTTACTTTTACTGTACATGTTGATGAAGTTGTGATTGAAAATTTTATTAATTTTAATTAAATTTCAATGCATTTGAAATTTTCTGTACTACCACATTATGCTTATTGACTTTAAGGACTTTTCCTATATATTTATAGATAATTTTCATATCTTTTTTTTTATTACGTGATGCTTACTTAACAATTTTTCAGCTCATTTAATTACAGAAGTTAGCTACTTTGATATAAAAATGCGCTTAAAAGCATTTTCATTTTTTAATTTTCTACTTGTTAATAATAATATTTAATTTCATTTTTCTTCTTGCAGATTTTTTAACTAACGATGAAAAAATGCCACAGGCGATTCCAAACCCAATGGGTAACGCTGACGACGAAGCCGCTACTGTAACGGAGGCACCGTTGCCTTGAAAAAGTTGCTAACATTTCGAGTGAATAAAAAATATTTTGCAAAGCGAACGCTGCTCAAAGGACTAAAAGAATTATTAAAGCTAAAAAATATACAAATAGATAATTATGAAAATAATTAATTAAAGTTAAGAATGTTCAAAAATAAATTCAAAAAAAATGTAATCTAATAGCAGAAAAGCAAACAGAAACTGTTGAGTTAATATAGTAACTAAAATGAATAAAATAAAAGTTTTTTTAAAAAAACTATGCATAATTGACAGTCAACTAAAATAAAGTCAAGTAAAGTAAAGTAACGTAAAGTAAAGTAAATTAGTTAAAAATAAAAATACTTCAAAAATAATATATTAAATGCCAACCGAATCAAAATATTGCATTTAACACAGCAAAACCAACGATTTTATTTAGTTGTAATTCGAAAATGAAACTGTAAATTTCATGAAAAACATATAGAGAAATATTAGTTCGAAATAACAAAATTCAATTTTTAATAAACCCGTCGTATTATTTGATTAAATAATTTAATTGAATGACTTCTCATTCAATGACTTGAAAAGGAAAACTGAAATACTGAAGACACCAAAGCATCGATTGTTTGTAGTTTGTATAGAAAATCTAAAAATACGAGAAATTATTGTTTGCAAAACACAGTAAATACAGTAAATAGTAAAGTTGAAATATTCGTAATACAAAAACATAAAAGAAAAGAAGATAAATAAGTGATAGCAAGCATTATAAATCGAAAGTGCCGCAAGTGAAAGTAACTTAAGTCGAAAAAAGTGATACACAAGATACTAAAGAAGACGACACAGCAGAAAGTCAGAGCAAAAAAAAAGTAATTGGAAACGATTTATCTTTTGTCACAAAGCAAGTGCTCATTTGACGTCCACTTTATGTGCTAAACCGATAAGATCTGCACGTTAGCCAACACTGTCCACAGAGCGATAAACAAGAAAAAACTTAATAACAAATATAGAAGTAAAAGTAAAAATAAAAATAAACATTAACTTTAATATAAATAATCTGAACAATTACTGCAAGTAACTAGAATTTTCACAATGTCGCCATTTTCGGGTGTTGACAGCAGCTGTACGCGCCCCTTCAAATACACTGCAACTCATAGATTTTTCATACTGTATCTGCTTATCAACATTTGTGTGCATGGTAAGTAAATTGTTAACAATATATTTTTACAACATTACAAAAATAATCACAAATATTTATTATTATTTATTTATCGCACGCACAACACACCGGGGTTCATGTGCTTGTGCCACGATTTATTACGAATAAATGTGTCAAATTGTGCTAAATTGTGTGCGATTTGGGAATGACAGTGACAGTGTACATATAAGAATTGTCTATGTCCTTTTGTTATATCTCGTAATAATACACATGTCAAGGAAGCGATACGATGTGGTGTAATAGTAAAATGTATCTATATTATTTATCTATATACCTATCTGTTACACGCAATACCGTGCTACGCTGCAGTAGACGAAACTAAAGCTCGTGTAGGTTAAATACAGTCGACATATCTACAAATCTTGGTAAGATTTTCTGTAGGAATGGCGGTAATTGAAACGGAAAACAATTACCGTTTTTCATATTAGCATAACACAATTATATATTGCATTAATATAGATTTAGTTTTGAAAGCGTCTTATAATAACTAAAAAATGGCGATTCAAATGAA